AAATTTAATTAAATTTAGTTATTAAAACAAATTATTGAGTAATACTTGATTTAAATTTCAATTAAGTATTTATTGCGAATAAAATCAATCCAATTACTTTTGCGCCACTTAATATTCAATACTTAAGTGTTTAGTATTGATTTCATGATTATTTCCTAATGATCATTATTAATGGTGTATATGTTATCACTTTAAATCATTTATTTTAGAAAAATGTTTAAAATACAATTTTATTTTATAAACAACTTGTTTTCACTAAGTATGTATATTTATATTATTATTTTTTTTCTATTTGCAAGATAAACGTTACACTGTGACTATTTTATGGCATGTCAATGAATGCTAATAGGTATTAAATTAATAATACAAAATCATATATATAAATATAAATGTATGTAATATATAACTAAAACTTATTACTCAAAAATAATAAACTCAATATACTCAAGTATCCAATATCTATATTATTTGAAAGCACTCTAATCACATAGCACGAGAGGACTAATACGATTTCAAACAAGAAGGTATCAGCACTCAAGATATTAGCACTCTAATCACATAGCACGAAAGACCTAATACGATTTTAAGCAAGAAGGTGTCAGCACTCAAGGTATTAGCACTCTAATCACATAGCACGAGAGACCTAATACGATTTCAAGCAAGAGGGTATCAGCTCTCAAGGTATTAGCACTCTAATCACATAGGACGAGAGGACTAATACGATTTTAAACAAGAAGGTATCAGCACTGAAATAATATAACTCTCTTTTTCCACAATGATGTTTTAGTTTTCGAAATCTTCGATATAAATTATTTCTTTACAAAATCAATCCTCTTAGATGTGCTTTATTAGACTATAAATAAAAACGTTTTATTAAGTTAAATGTAAATAGGCATTTTAGATAAAAACTAAATTTGATAAGCTATTAAGATGAGTTCAATAATATGTTTAGACTATTGTACTTAACAAATATGCAGTAATATGTGCCATTTTTCATATAGAACCCATAGAAAATCAATTTAAATATATGCGAAAAAAGTTCTATAAGTATGAAGATAATACGTCGATAAACACCCCATTGCAATTCTAAGTAATTTCCACCGGTACCAGTTTAAGTTATGTACGAGTATCTGAACATAAATACCCCCTTGGTAAGAAGCGAAGCCACCTAACACCTCTGCTGATCTTTGAGTCACAGCACCCGGTGTGAAAATGCAATTTCGGGCTGAATAAAAGTAAATAAATACAATCATTCTACGCGAGTAAGCTTGGGTTTTAACTACAACTGTCACAACATTCCCTCTAAGGAGCCAACCTCAATTGGTCAGAACAGCCGAAGCTGCAAGTACTAAGCACTATGGTACCAGATAAACACCTCCGGTCGGATGATAGAAGTGAAAACTCACTCACTACCTGGAGTGAATTTTACTGGATTTTCATCGCCTCTTACCTTTGAGAATATTTAAACTTCTTTCCTTTCAAACCCCTTAGGGGGAGTGAGCTAAAGCTACAATTTAAACAAAGGACTATATGTTTACAAAAATTTTAATATTAGCAGAAAATTAAGAAGTCCTGAAGGTAGGCGAAAGCAAGGACAAGGTAAGCTCAATTTTTGTATAGATTGAGAACATAAATAGGGAATCATACCTACCAAATTTTAATGCTATAACTTCAAAATAAAATACTTTTAATAAAGAAATGAAAAAACGATTGATACACAACCTGATATAAGTAACGAGATGTCTGTACATCAAATACGATGCACTTACCTTAAAAGTTGACGTTGTAATATTTTTTGCAAACAGATAGATGGCCCTGCGTAACTGGAACCATCATATTTTAAAGAGTTAAATACTCTTAACCCTAGTCGGACGGGATAAATACGATTGTAAATTTTGCACTTTTCAATTGCCATAACTTGTTGTGCCTATACTGCAGTGGCCTTAAAATTCAGGAGATACCTAACGTTTTTTTAACTTCCAAGCAGGTGTATATACAAATTAGGATTAAAAAAACAAAACATTTTTATTTATTTATAATAAAAAAAGTTGGATAGGGGAAGATTTTTCATACTTTATCCTTGAAGTCAAAATTGTACCTCTGTCGCCTTTTAACGTTGTAAAGTTTCCCAGTCCGACAAGGGTTAATACCGTTCGAGTGTTGGCATGACTAAATAGCAAAGAAGAGTATATGCGATCAAAAGTTTTATCTAAAATATTTATATAAAATATTTTTATAATTTCTCTGAAATATTTTAAAATTCAATGTATCTAGTTCATATTTCAAAAGTTAACCGTGTATCGATATGACGCCAATTGGTATTCAAGAGCGATATTATTTTAAAGACCCCGTTGCAATCACGTAAGTAAAACTAAAACAATTTTAAATATTTTATGCATTTTTTGTAATTTTATAATTATTCATTGTGGATTGACTTTTTTGTTTATCCAACTCATGTGTCACCTACGAGCTCAAGAACTGGTTTCGGCATGACCAATCCAAAAAGATCGCAAATTCTAAATACAGCAGCTGAAGTAATTAACCACATTCTACAGAAAAGGCACGACATGTTTTTGAAAATATTGGCAATAATTTATAATTTATATACATTATTAAATAAATAAAAAAAAACAAATCAAATAATTATAACAAAAATTTGAGTTGAACTTACCTGCTTTTGACCAAAGATCATAATTTTGTTGTTGAAAAAGCGTTGCCCAATCGTAGGACAATTCATTGTGAGATGCCATTATAGATATCATCCCCCACAACAGCACAGAGAAGTGAATTGAGAAGATGCAGCCGAAAACTTGAAGCAGCACAATTTTGAAGCCGCACTTATTACTTTAGTCCTTTTTAATTATATTGAAAATTATTATATTATACAATGATTCGAAAAGAAAGATAAATACTTACAAAACTATTATATTTGATTTCAATTAAATGAAAAGTTTAAATATGGCATATTTATTTCATATTATATCATAATCAGTGCTCACCACAATTTTTTTTTTTATTGAGTTTTTTATATAAAATTCATAACAACTATAAAATTTACAATACGAATAACACAATCATAATTAAAACGTTCAATTTACATATTTAAAAAAAATTTATGCAAATTAAATTTAATTGCAACTTTTTGTTGTTGGAATTTGGAAATCTAACTGTTCATTTTCACCACACGTTGTTGGTATTTATTGCTTTATTACTGTTTTAAACTGCACAAAGTTCACATTGAATTATATTAATATTTTTTAAATAATTTTGACAGCAATTATAATATTTTCAAATTTTAGTTTAAAAAAAATTTTGGTCCTATAACTTATACTATATTTTAAAACACAAATTCCAATTTATCGCCGCTCAACGTACGAAACACACAACACCCTCAAGTCGCCAACGATTCCGCTCAACTGTCACTTGTTTGGCGCTCAAAATACACTGTTAAAAATTTTCCAAAAATTGAAGTATGCAAATTATTTTTGTAAGTAGCAAGACACAGAGCTAAAGGTAAATAAACCTACATGCAATTTAATAGTATTGAACAATAAATATTTGTGTTTATATTTATTTAACATAAAGTATACGAATTTATTATTGAAAAATTGCTTGAATGTCAAATAGTTACTCGCGGCAATAATAAAAGTGACTAAGTAGGGATATAAATAATTAAAAACTAATTTGCATAACTATTAAATAAATATAACTTAATTAGAAGTTATTATAGTCAATAATATTATAAAGAGTATAATAAGTGTGTATTCTTTAAACAAGAAGTGATAGAAGTGATAGAACACCACCAATAATTTGGTGGTCATTTTAATAATTAAAATGATAGCAATCGGTATCGGTAGAATATATGAGGTCTGTTCCCCGTGCTACGCGTAGTAACTTTAAGTAACACTGTGTATTCACAAGTGCGTTCCACCAGCAAATTTTCGAGTAAATGAGAACATCTGAGAGAGAATTTCGAATTGAGAGAGAGAGAATTTTGTTTCTTTTTATCAAAACTTGCAACCAAAGTTTGCACATTGAAATTTTTGACCACAGAATTTACTAAGTTAATGTACTTAAAAACTAAATACGCGATTATTTCGGATCATATAAAGATATTGTATGATAAAAGTGACAACCTAATGAGGGTTGTAAAGATAATCCCAAATTTGAGTTAATTACGATCATATAAACTAACTTTTGACAAAAAATTAAGAAATTAAAGAGATTTATTAAGCAAAATTATTATCTGCATTTTTGATTGCTTACATATAAATTATCTTTTACCGCAACTACTTACTAAGGGAGTTATCTCATCAACTCAGTAATGGACTCTTCGCTGGCTTATTAAAAACATACTATAGGAGACAGTATGCAACATAACTATAAAAAAATCTTAGTTTTTTTGCTAGTTTAAACTACATATTTTTTGAAAGAAACTTTGTGTATAGCAGTTTTAAAGATAAATCATTGACTTAACTACATATTCAATATTAATTTTTTTTGCCGATATTTAATATGTAAATAAATCATCCGACTTTTAATATCAACTGCATTTTGCATTAAGTCATGTTATCTACTAGTTACACATCCATCTCCAACTTGAGAAGTAGAGTTACATGTGCGTACAAAACTTAATCATATACTATTATAAGAATGTATTCTATATTGATTTACCTACATTTAATTATACACACTATACTACATTATTTTTTGCATAAATTGAGATAATCATATAATTGTATTTTAATATACTTTATATAAGATATTTTTCTATGGGTTACTAAATTAAATACTTGCAATTATATTAAAATTATTCTTATCTATATTAATTAAAATTAACTTATATACATGTAATTACAAATTTAATTGTAGAGAATATAATTATTATAATAAAATGAAAATTCTTTACATTTACATAATGTATTTATACTAAAACTGGAACCAACACAAATATTTATCATTTTTAATCATATATGTATATATATGTATTCTTGTGATATATTCATTTGAGCTACATACAAAATAATAATGTCCAGTAATAAAATAAATTAGGTTAATAAGCAGAAGGGCCTTGCAATTGTAAAAATGTTTGTTGTTAAAGAACGTTAATTACAGATGTTTTAATTTTTTATAACATCAAAGTGTGTAAACCTTGGCCTCAGTTTTACTTGTTCTGTTTTCATGCGGTCTTTCGTTAGAAAAAACAATTTATGATCAATAAAGAAATGTCATTGTACAGAGTTGTATTGGAAAGTATGTGTTAACAAATATTTATATGCACGTGTAATTTTAGCATCATGACTTCTGTTTCATATATGTAAGTAGTTTCAAAAAAAAAAACAATTTCATATATCATTAATAATTGTTTTGCTTTAATTAAAGTGCAGGTTACATTACATATCATTAATAGAATAAAATACATTTATTATAATAAACAACAATTTTCGCAATATATGCATTTATTGCAATATATCAAATTTATTAATATGAAAACTTTATATAAAAGTTTAATTAGATGCGTGAAACTGATTTTGCATAAAATGCAGTATTTAAAAATGTGTTCACATAGCAAATCTTAATTTTATTCCAATTTTATTTTTTTAAAGTGCTTTATAAACGTTGCAGCGATATTTAGTTTTATTTTGCTTTAATTTATGAAATTTATTTATAATATTGCTACACAATTGTATATATGAGATTTTTTCAAACGAGATGTCTTCACGCGAGTATTATAGTTGTAATTTTAGCTGTCAATTATTGTTGCTTTCAGTGCAAAATAAATATTTGTGACACTTAAAATTACAAACAAAACTCTAGTGTGGATCGCAGAATACGCTTTCATATATGTCATCAAAGGCTGTTAGTAACTATTTTCCGTATTTTAGATTTAATTATATTAATAATAATTGTGCATATTTGCATTTTGCAAGCAGTTTCAATAATTAAAATATATTGCTTTCCATTTAAAATTTTTTTTAATATCCAAACAAGACGTCAAGAGTATACTTCAATAATGCAAACATGCCGGTGTAAATAATACTACCATTCCATATACTTCAATAATTAAATATTATTTTTTATATGGCAACCCAGTAAGCCATTATCGTCATAGATAATTTTCTCTCATGTCATATTTCTTCATTTTGCTTTTGGATTTAAATTCATAAAGTAGGCGACGCATTTCTAAAAAAACTGCTCAAGTATCGAAAGTTTTCATATCATTGCAAGTGTTTGTACCGGCAGGAAGAATAAATTTATATATCGGGAAAGATTTGTTCGAATAAATTTCATTTTAGTTTTTTTTTACATAAAATTTCTTGTCATAAATTAATACAGAAATTTTTTTTTTTTTCGAAATAAAACAGTGTTGAGTTCAAAGTACGAAATTTTCTATTGGCAATTGCATTATTTATTAGTGAAATATATTTTAAAACGAAATTCCTGTGCACGTTCGAATTCTATAAGATAAATAAGACAATATGGAAGATGCGAAACCAGAGGCGTCCGGCTTTATGTCAATCGTTAACGAAATTATCTACAGCCCCATGAACTTGGGTTTAGTTTTAATCATTGCATTCTTGATCTACAAAATCATCAAGGACCGCATCGAAGTTCCCAATGCTGTCGCGCAGAGACCAGCACAGGTTGAACTACCCAAGTTGCGGCGCGATTTTACTATACAAGAATTGCGACAGTTCGATGGCTCCCAACCAGATGGACGTGTGCTGCTTGCAGTCAATGGCAAAGTGTATGACGTCACGAAAGGAAAACAATTCTATGGGCCAGGTGAGTACACAAACAAAAACAGTCAATAAACGTGCGTAGGGATATGTGTGTGTGTGTGTCCATTGTATATTATATTTTTAAGATACATTTTCGAGTAGGTAGTGGATCTTTGGGTTTGGTTACAATAAACATATGGCAATTTATTTAAGGAATTTTCTTTTGTCTTTTGGCCTTGTAAATGAAAAGCAGAAAAATATTACAAACACTCAAGCCAGATTAAATGCATGTACTTTGCTTTCTTAATTACGTGAGTTTTTTCAAACTTACGTTTATTAATTTTTTTCGCTGCTCCATTAAGTTTTTATATCGTTCACATTTTGCCGACAAGCCTCCCCGCTCCGCTTGCCATTCAAACCAACCTCACATAAACACTTGCTGCTGTTTATATGCGGCAAATAATGTTATCATCAGGTGATAATTAAATGTTATTCTATTGCCCTGCTACCCGCGTTTGTCCACCCCACAACCTCACAACCTTAGCAAGTGAGCAGAGTTTTTCTAAAACATATCCACTTTTTCTGCTACTCACACGGCTCTGCTCGGCTGGTGAGTGTAGCGCTTTTGTCCATAGAGTACAGCGTAGAGTTTGCATATATTAATTTCATTTTTTGTTTTATGTATAAATTATTTTTAGCTTAATTGCAATAAAATTTATTGATTGTTCTGTTATAAAAAATTGTAGAAAATTTTCAAAAGAGAGCAACGAAAAAGATTTCAATGTACTGAAAACGCACTCAACGGTCTTGTCCGGAAGGCGTAAACAAACGCCGCCGCCGTTCCAAAAGTTTCACTTCGTCGTAGTTACTTTAATTTCAATTGAAAAGTAATTACTTTTCTTAAATGGAAATGTAATGAACGCAATAAAATCGCACAAATGTTTATTAAATAATTTTTTATTAAATTGCTTTTTTAATTTAAAGCAAAAATTGAATATTTTGACTGCAGTCAAAAGGCTTGACGCCTAGAATTTTTAGTCACATGTTTTTGTTTGAAACCAAACTTCTAAACAATGCTTTTCATTTATATCGATATTAACTAATCGACAAATAAAAACAAAAACCAAAAAATAACTTTCAAATACAGTCTAAACGTCCATAACTCAAAGTAACATTTTGCAAAGAAAATGTTCAATTTATGGAGACTTCCAAGTTAAAGCATTATTTTGTAATAATATGAAATTTGCTCTCTAAACCCTGTTGCACTCTATTTAGTTCGAGTTATAGAAAATTGAAGAACAACGAGTTATAGAAAATTCGAGAAGTTCGAGTTATGAAAGTTTGACTGTATATTAAAAGAGATTTTCCATAATGCTTTTTACTAACTCTGTATAAGCACCTATCTATCTATTGACCTATTATATCTCTTTTTGCAACTTTGCCTAGAGTGTCCACAACTTGATGCCTCACTATGTCATTTTAAATGACAATTATAATTGCCTAGTGTGTCAAATGCCTTTTTATTACATGACAAGAGTGCGAATATGACATCGTATGACTACCCGTTTTCATTATACTGACAATATTTGACATTCAAAATGACATAACGAAGTAATACAATCTAAAAGTTATAAAAGGACAAAGTTATTATTAAATATTCCCAAAGACCACAGATAACAAAATTTGGCAATACCTGTAAAAAGTATATTGTTCAACCCCAAAATCACTTGATTAGAAATTTATATTTTGAATTTAAAATTTCCTCAGCATTATCTTCATTATTATTTAGAGATAGATTTGTTGTTATAAAAAGTAAAAACTTCCTGAAACCGACGTGCGAATATTCCTTACATTAGTAAATATTGCATTCGAATAACTATACGACACATTAAATACTTTTGTTCCACTTATAGCCGAGTCTACGTCGCGGAGCCACTCTTCATTTCGCAAACCAAGTACCAATTATTTTTACTAATCAATTATTTGACTTATCACTTAAATTTAATAGTTTTTCTTTGTTATTGTTGCTATTGCCTTGTGATCCACGCAGGATATCCATAAAAGTGGCGCATAAATTAATTGCTAATAGTTCTTGAAATGTTATTGTACGAAGCTTCAAGCGTTTTGATGTTCGAGTATGCATATTCGAAGAATAAAAAAAAAAGAAACTGAACACTTTTTGTTAAAATACCCAGACCTGACAGGTCTTAGACTTTCTACTGTACAAGTTATGAACTTCTGAAGTTGACGAGCATCTCAGAAATTGATAATCAGAAAGTAATCTCCTTTATAAACCGTTCAGGTTGGTTTAAAACCTGGTTTGTGGTATTAAAGTGAGACTACTCGTAGACAGTAGAGGATGAGCCTTCTATTCATACAAATTAAATATTAATATTTCTGATGAGCGCTTCTTCTTCCACATCCTATCCCATGGTAGGTTAGAC